GAAAGTGTCAGCTCAGACACCTGGAGGTCTGCAGATGACAGCTTTTTAAATAATCATTTTTTTATTCACTGCCATGCTCCAATGCCACCTTCATTAATTGGAAATACAAAGTATGCCAACAATGTTTATAAAATATAAATGAATATCAGCGTGGCTGTTTAGTCTAAAGCCTCATTTCATAATATAGACAACTGAAGTCTAGGGAAATTCAGTTAGATCCTAAAACTCGATATATTTAAAATAAATAAAGAGGTTTTTTTTTAAGGTGAAGAAATGCTCAGGTCACAAGAAGACTCTGAAAGAAAAGTAGATTTGAGCAAGTCAAACTTTTATTTTATTTTTAAAATTTATTTTATTATGGTGACATTAGTCAACGAAATCCAATAAGATTCAGGTATACAATTCAACAGTAAGGTGTAAATACTGTATTGGTGTGTTCACTGCCCATAGTTAGATTTCTTTCTGTTACCATTCAAGTCAAACTTTTAGAATTGAAAAATACAGTTATTGAAAGAATAATGGACTGGTTAAAAACAAAATAGACCCATTCGAAAAGAGAATCTGTAGAAGATGGAGCTGAGAAAATTTCCATAATGCAGCAGAGTAGGAAAAAATGAAAAATATAAAGAGAAGTTAAGAGAAATGAATGATAAAATGAAAAGATTCAAACATATCTAATAAGAATTCCAGATGGAGAAAAATAAAGGAAATTAAAAAAATAATAGCTAAGAATGTTTCAGAATTGATCAAGGACATGAATTCTTAGAATTAAAGAATCACAATGAATCCTAATCAAAGAATATAAAATTAAACCACTTACAAACTGTAAAGAAACTCAGAGCACCAGAAATATGGGGAAAATATTTAAAACAACCCAAAAGAAGGATCAAAATTTTGGACTGACAGCAAATTTCTCACCTACAACAACAAAGGCCAGAAAACAATGAATAATATTTTCAAAGACCCAAAGAAAATAACGGACAACCTAAACTATTATTAAACTATTATTAAAATAACTCCCTAGACCTTTGTCGAATGGACTCTTTATTTGTATGCTAGGGCTTCCATAACAAAATACCACAGGTTGGGTGGTTTAAACAACAGAAACTTATTTCTTACAGTTCTGTAGGCTGGAAGTCCGATCAAGGTCTGGCAGGGTTGAATTTCTAGTGAGATCTCTTTTCTTGGCTTGAAGATGTACGACTTTCTTGCTGAGAACATCAGTCCTATTGGATTAGGGCCCCACCCTTAATTACCTCATTTAACCTTAATTACCTCCTAGAGATCCTATCTCCAAATGCAATCACATTGGAGAGTCAGGCTTCAACATATGAATTTAGGGGGCAGGAACACAATTGAACAGACTCTTTATATTAAAAATAAAATAAAAGTTTGACTTGCTCAAAGCAGACTACGAAAGGGTACATTTCAGGAAGAAGGAGATTGATTGCAGAGGTAAGGAAAAAACGATGGTAAGCAAAGAAATTGGTAAACATGAAAGTAAATCTAAAGATGTGTTAACTCTAAAAATTCAATACTAATAATAATGACTAATTTGAAGGGAGGTAAAACCTAGATGGAAATAACTACTAACATTTTCCAATATTACTTTCTACAGTGATGGAAATGTTCTATATCTGTTCTGTCCAATATGGTAGCCATTAGCCACATATGGCTATTAAGCACTTAAAATGTGGCTTTGCAACCCTCAAAATAAATTTTTTATTTTATTTAACATTAATAATTTTAAATGTAAGTAGCAACATTTGCCTACTGGCTGCTATATTAGACAATACAGCTTTAGACAACAGTAGCATGACAAATGGCTAGAACAGATCAAAGTTAGATATTCTAAGGTCTTTGTTTATTTGGAAGGAGAATGGACATTTTAAAAGTACTAATTCATGTTTAAAATTTAAGGATAAAAACTAGAAAATTTTAAATAAAATGTATCATTTCAAAAGTTGTAGAAGGAAAAGAAGAGTAAAGCAAACACTATCAATACACATATTGACAGGAAAAGATGCGGAAAAAAGAAATCAAAGAAAAGCATGGTAAATAGAAAGCATAAGAAATATGATAATGAGAAATCAGTAAGAAAACTGGTTTATCCTTAACAATAGAATGCAGAAGTTTAATGGAGCCTCGTATATCAAGAGAATACTGTGTGAAAAATCAGATAGCAAAAGATATGCACAATATTAAACCTTTTATATAAAGTTTCAAAACATAAATTATTACTGTTTATTTTTATTAACACACAAACATATCAACCATGACAATATGCATAGAGACAAATGATGCAATCCAACTTCAGGATAGTGATTTCCTCTGGAGGAGGGGCAAAGGTAAGGGAAGTAGATCTATTGCTGAATCAGAATATTTTAAAGGAAAGATTTGAAGCAATTATGACAAAATGTTAACATAAAACCTGAGTGGCAAGTACTGGGGTCTCAAACTATATTATTGGAAACTGATAAGAGTTTCAAATTATTATCTTTCATGAATAAAAATTCAAATTCAAAAGAAACACATTAGGCCAAACCACCCATCCAGATACTCTCCTCTTTTCTCTGTTAGTCTAGTTGAATCTTACTGGTTAAATCTTAGGACTTGAACTTGATTTCTTGTTGCTTAGGAAACACCTGTTCACAAAATAGTAATCTAACATAAAGAGTCCTCTTCACTGCAGAGAACTAAGGAGATAGACAGCTCAGTACCACTGGGAAGTTCTTTTTAGGACAGGGGTCAACAACTCATCTAACCCAGTATTCTATTAGTGGGACTTGGATGGCATCGAATGGCTATGGAAGAGAGAGGAAGAGGAGAAAGTTATTATAGAGGGCTGCTATTGACTTTGCTCACCCCCAACATATATCTGTAGCAGAAAGTGGGATAGAATGACCTCATCTCTTTGCTTTGACATCTTTCTATTGGCGTTCCTTTTATTGTACTGCAATTACTGTTTACATATCTGTCTCCCCTGCTGGACCATGTTTTATTCCACTTCTTATCTTGAATGCTTAGCACAGTGCCTGAAATAGTGTAAGCCTTAGTGAATGTCTGTTGAATTAACATTGAACACAATTCAGATCTTAAATGATTTCCTGGCCTCTTGGTTAAGTATTCCAAGCCTCTTTTCATTTGCTTTATTGTCTTCTTGGGTCCTCTTTCAGCTCCTCAAAATTGGAAACATGTAAGCCTTTTCTATCATCAACTCTAAGCTGGAACACTCAAACCAGCTTCTAGGCTTTCACAGAGTGATTTGTCAGGAAGGCAAGGAAGATATAGCGGGACAGTGTCTGGAAATGGGAACTTTGTGGAGGGCCCCAGGAGTGCCACAGAATTCTGAGCTTGACTTTTTTTACTTCATGGGAGCTGTGGCAGGGAGCCATGGTCAGGAGGATAGAGGAGAGGCATATGGCAGTTCCTAACACCTAGTGCTCAGGTCCTTCCTCCCATGTCCCAGGCAGAAGTGTGGGGCCCCCAACCACCTCACACCTAGCCTTGGCCTTCGAAAGCCAACCTTGGTCTTCGTGATAACAACCCTCTCTTTTCAAGAGAAGTCAAGCAGTGCTTACAGCTATTGGTGGTTCTATCTTAATAGAGACACAGTCTGGCCCCACAAGATATTTCTGTTAACTGTGTTATGGGAACCTGTCTGCTCTGCTTGATTGCTATTGAGGGGAATTCTAACAAAGACATTTGTGCACATGGTCTGTTGGAGGGTGACGGGCCCCACCTTGAGACTGCTTGAGCATTGGCCATCCAGCATGGGAGACCTGCTGGCCTTTTAGCAGGGAGTTATTCTAGAGCCATGTCGTAGTAGAGGCAAGTAATCAAGAAGTTTAAATGTAACTCAGATATTTGTACACCTGGTGAGGCAGACACGAGTAGGCAGAGCCACCTGTAGCTTATTCAGAGGAAGCCTTCCATTTGCTTCAGAGGGGACAAGACAACAGGTGTATATTTACCTCGCCCTGTCACATATTGTGGTGGCTGTGGCTGGCCAAGGAAACTCTCCACCTGATAGTCAGTTTTGTTGGGTACTGGGCACATCTAGGGTCTCTGGTGAGTCGGTCTGGATGGATGAACCCACAACTCTCTGGTTCTGTTCCTCCCTGGCATAGGCTCTAACTTGAGAAAAGTAGGGCAGAGCATAAGGGCCAATGACATTAGCAAGTTCTACTATCATGGAACCTCCACAGCATCATTTGTTGTAACAGGTGCATCTCTGATGATCTCCAGCAGCTAAAGGAACACAAAAAGCAGCAGCCACAACAAACTCTGCAGCAGCGGGGCTTTTCTTGCAGTCTTTTTCTTAATGCCATTGTCTCTTACCTATTTCTATTCCAACCATTCTACAATAGAGGTAGAAACAGAGTACAGGGCTGGCCTAGACGTGGTCCACCATGACCCTCCCATCACCCACTGGGGATTGTAAAGAAAGAAAATGAATCCCAGCCTTACTAGCCCACAGCCTCCAGACTGCTCAACAAGGAAACTATGTACCAAGAAGGAACTCTGAAGTCCCACACGGAACAAAAGATTTGTCTGTCAAGAGACTTGACCAAAATAGCCTGTCTGCACTAGTCTGTGTCCCCAAAGGCGACCCAGACCCTATGCTGAGACTTTGTTCAAGAAAATGCAAATTTGCCAAACCACAAAATTTACTTTGTCCCAACCCACATTGCCAAACTGTTTTCGGTCATTTTCTATTACGCCCACCTTCTGTAATTTTCCATCTCCCCATAACCCCCTTTTTAGTTCCCCATAATTTTCTTTAGCCTTTCCATTCTTCCCTTTTCATTCTCTTATAGCCTCTTTTAGTTACCTCTAAGGGGCTAACTCCCTTTAGCCCCTTAAAAAACCTTAGTCAGCTTTATCTTAGTTGGTGTCAAGCTCACTTTATGTTGGAGTCTCTCTTCTCTACTGCAGTTGTCTGAATAAAATCCGTCTTGCCACCATAACAAGTGTCCAGTGCTATTTCTTTTCTACAGGACCAGTCCAGGACTTCTACTTATGGCTTCAGCCCTCATGCTCCCAGGCCAGGAGCCAGCAGGACCATCCCGGGCACCACAGCAGGAAACATCTTGGGTCCACTGGGCACCAGCAGAGGTCCAGCACCTGCTCTCTGTCATGGAGGAGGCTGTCATCAGGAGGTGCCTGAAGACAGTTCACCACAAACACTTCAGTCTATGTAGATGTGGCCAGGTGCCTTCAGGAGCAGAGATATGTCTGGCATGCACACCAGTGCCATACCAAGTTCAAGGCCTTCAAGCTGGCCTTCAAGATTGGGCCCACATAGCCATCCTGCGCTCTGGGATAACTCCTTCTACAAAGCCGATCATGGGCAACAGCAGCCCAGACAACCTCAGAGAACAAACACAGCCATAGCATCTCAACCACCACTACCTGCCAACCTAGGGAAGGAAAAAAAGATAATGAACAGAAAGATAGATGAACAGAAGAGTACTCTCCCCAGCAACAGCAGTAGGAAGCATCAGAACCAGAGATGGAGATAGAGACAGAGTATCATTTTAAGCTAAAAGTGGGAGCATTAGAGCTGTCTAGTGACCTCAGTCCTGAAAGCCCAACTGGTTCCCAGACCGACAAAAGAACTGAGATGGAGATTAAGCAGAATGTCCAAGGGATTGGGGCAGATAAGTGGCCAAATGTGTTCTACCAAAGCTTTGATGCCATGGGTCGGGGTGGAAGAGGAAGTCATAAATGATAAAACCAAAGTCGGGATGTCCTCAAAGTTCCTAAAAATTTTAAAAAGCATCATTTAACTATAGATATTGGAATCAGCATATTTAAGCTGGAAGGGACAGCTGGAGACCGTCGTCAACCTTTGTAGTTGAGGAAACGAATCCAGGAGAAAGTAATTTGCGAAAGGCGACGCTGCCGGTTAATGCTAAGACTGACACTGAAACCCAAGCCCAGTGATGCTTCCATTGGCTTATAACTGGCTTTTGACTTAAATGTGCTTGTTAACTGGACACCATGGGAATCTTTTCCAGTCTTAAAACTGGGGCCTGGAAAGAATAGGTTGAGGACAGCAGCTAGAATTTTGTTCTCTTTTTCTCCAACAAAAGCCCAGAGGAGGCTAGAGTCTCCAGAGAGAAACTAGCCTTAGAGACTCCATCATCAGCCTCAAAGGCTCCAGGAGTCTCTGCAGTGTCCCCTGGAGCACAGGAAGATAGAGTGTGCCAGTTCCAGCCCAGATCCATTAACCTTGGGTGCTATCAGGCCATTGCTGCCATTATGGCAGCTGAAATGGCAGAGAACAGGTACCTGGTCAGCGAACCAGATACCTGGTCAGGAATCAGCTGCCCAGTGGCAGTGTCACCTAGACCAGCACATTGCCCATATGGCAGATGGCCGGAGACATTTACACCCGGTGCCAGGAGGTGGTAGCCATTCTTCAGGACATTGCTGATAAAGTCCATGAGCGGGTAGCCCTCCTAAGGTCATCTCTAGGCTACCTGAGCTAAGAGTGAGACCTATAGACCACAGCCTCTGCCATACTCAGCCACCCCAGGACCTAACAGAGATTTCTCCACTGAGACTGGGATTTTTGCTTCTCTTTTCTCTTCCTTTTTCTTCTAGGAGAAATTTGAAAATTAAGTAGAGAAAAGGTGAATAAAAGGTAAAGGAACTTAGGATTTTAATAAAAAGATCTTCATATGAAAGCAGCTAGCATTTGGGGGTTTTTCCTTGTTTCATTCTGTCTCAGCCCAATAGCAAAGAATGGACAAGCCCCTGGACTAGGGCTTCTAATGATTATAATCAGACCTTAGCCAAGAGAAGCTATGGTGGACAGGCCTAGGTCTGTCTTCTCATTACCTCTGAGTCCCATTTGTTATCATTCATATATTCAAGAGACATTTGAAGGTCTACTATATGCCCAGACATTATGTTAAGTACAGGATATTTGTTAGTGATGAAAGTGCACTTCATGTTTGGAAAACAGTATGATGGTTTGAAAAAGTTAAAAATAGAATTACTATATGATGCATCAATCCCACTTCTGGGTATATTTCCAAAGAATTGAAAGCAGGATGTCAAAGAGATGCCTTTGTTTATTACAGTATTATACACAGTAGGCAAGAAGAAGAAGCAAAATAAATGTCCATTGTTGGATGAATGGATAAACAAAATGTGTACATACACACAATGGAGTACTATGCAGCCTTGGGGGGAAAAAAAAGGAAATTCTGAAACATGCTACAATATGATGAACCTTAAGGACATTGTGCTAAGTGAAATAATCCAGTCGCCAAAGGATAAATACTGTATGATTCCATTTACATGAGGCATCTAAAGTGGTCAAATTTATAGATAGTAGAATGGTGGTTGCCAGGGGCTGGGGGGAGGGGGGGAAGAGGACAAAAGGTAATTACTGTTTATAGGTAAAATTTCAGTTCTGCAAGATGAAAAAGTTCTGGATACCTTTCACAATAATGTAAATGCACTTAACATTACTGAACTGTAATGTTAATGGTTAACATTAACACTTAAAATGGTTAAGATGGGAAATTTTATGTTTTTTTTATCATAATAAAAAAATGCACATCATTCATGCCCTCATGGACCTTAGAATTTAGAAAAGAAGCTAGTCATTAAATAAAGCTGCACATAAATGGTTAACACTATAAAGAAAATGAACTGGAAGGGTGACCAGGTGAGGCTAGGGATCAGACCTATTTATGTGGTCCAAGAAGCCCTTTCTGATTGTGGCCAAAATTAGGTATCAGTAGGCTCATCTGAGAAACCCATGCTCCCCAATCTCTCATCCCAATGTAGAGTGGTCCTGGAAATGAGTCTACCAACTCGGCTGCAGCCCCCTGCTCTGGTCACTGCAATAATGGTGATGGTAGTAAGTCTCATACCAACAAACACACCCCAACTGGTCTTCCTTGGCTCCCTGAAGCACAGAGTGGGCTGAGGGTGATAACTGCCTGAGCCTCCTCTGGAGCATTCGTTTTTGTGTATGGTACTGTAAATCTTTTGTGTATGAACTTTTTTAGCCTTTTTTAGCATGGATACTGCCTATGTTAGGCCTAAGGTTCTCAAAGCATACTTTGTATCTCGTTTACAGTATTGTACAGAGAATAAGAGCTCCATACACACTTAGCTCATAAATGCCCTTCTCCAGTTAATCCTTAGAGGTAGCTGTTTTAGTGGGTATTTTCAAACTCCCTGAAAGAACACGTCCTTTATGAAGGGAAGAGGGTTACCTTTGATGCTCCCATGCCAAATGATGGCGAAGTCATTGGTGAGGCTTCTCTCCTGTGCCTTTGACTATCTCAGCCTCTGCTCAGCTGCTCAGCTCTCCCCTCAGCCTAGGGCCCTACCGTAGCCATAACCCAGGCCTCTGAATAGGCACCTCCCTTCCGTGGTTCCAGGAGGTTAAGAATAGCAGAGGGCAGGAGAAGCAGGGTTCCTTCTCTCTTTTATTTCCCCCATTGCTACCCAGCTTATAAGTCTGTAGCCAGGAACTGAGATCAACTCTGGTCATCATTCAAACTTGTCTGAGGCCTCAGAGAATGCTGCTGGGTTATAATAAGCAAGCACAATGATATTTTCACACTAGAAGTGATGCAATTCTAGAACTAGAAGCAGATTTGGTGATTTTAGTGGAGCTCTCTCATGTTACAGAGCAAGAAGTTGAGACCTGGAGAGGTTCCAGGACCTGAGGGTCCTAGGGGATGGACTTCCCAGTCCAGAACTTTTCCAAGTTTAGACAGGTCAAGTTACTTCAACAGTTCACGAAGCCAGTGAGCTGGGGAGCTGGGACTTGAACCAGGGTCTGATTCAAAGTGGAAAGTCTGGTGTCTGTACCTTGGAATGCCTTGAGGTCTGGGAGGCGAGTCTGCTTTTTTATTTCTCTCCAGATAGATGTAAATGCTCAAAAACTATTGAATGAGAGAAAGAAAGCAGGGAGGGGAGGGGAAAAGGGAGAGAGGGAAAAATTTAAAAATAAAAACTGGTGGGGAGAGGGATAGGGTTATCTTCCCGAATATGTGAAGCTGCCCTGTGTTTCAGAGCTTTTCTAGTTCTGAATGATAACTGGGCAAATGCCTACTCTTGTTCCCAGTCTCAATCTCAGTGGTATCTCCTCTATGAATCCTTTTCTGACTCAGATGTTAAGTGACTGTCAGCACTGCACCTAATTCATATTGTCCATTAACACACTTTTCACACTTACTGTAACTCTACATGCTTGTCTCCCACACTAGCCTCTGAGCTCTTTGAAGATAAGGTCTCTTGGTGGTTGCCTGGTACTAAGTATGGGCACAAAGTCTGTAAATCAACGAATGGCCTTTTTTAGAGCCTGATCACGTATAAACAAATACCTTTCTATCCGTTCACTACTCAGCACTTGCTATTTGTATGGTTTTAAGTGAAATTTAGGAAACCTACATAGGAGTAATGATAGAACTCCCCCATTTTATATTTGTTTGTTCTGAACACACAAAGTCAGAGATAATAAGAAGGAAAAATAGGAAGAGGGGTGCAAAAGCAAGGAAACTTCAATGATATATATGCTACAACATCTACAGGCAGCTTGTTTAATTCTTTCAGCAACTATTAAGCACCTACTGTGTGCTGATGCTTTTCTTGGCAGAGGGATATAGCAAAACAGTCAAGATTTCTTCTCTTGTAAAACATATATGCCAGTGGGGGGAAAGAAAGAATAAACACATAATATTTTTAGAAATAATAAATTCTATGAAAGAAAGAAAGCGGGAGCTGGGGTAGAACGAGCAGGGTGAGCACTCTAGGATGGGTGATCAGGGTGGGTTTCCCTACGGAAGTTACTTTTAAGCTGAGACCTGAATAATGATATGGAGCCAGATCTGAGTATCTAAACAAGAGTGTTTTGTGTGGAGGGAATGGCGAGTGCAAAACACTGGTGTCGCTGTACCACTGGCCAGAAGGGTGATTATCTAAATGCTTTCTAAGAGTTAGGTGGTATACTATTTTTAATAAGAGTGATATGGTCTCTGATGTTCAAGGTCATTTATAATGTAGCTATACATCTTATCTAACCTAATTACCTCTTCTATAATTTAGCAGTCTTTCCCTTTAATAGAGTTGATGCCCTCCCACACATTCAATATTCATCCACGCCTCTGATTTTCTTTTTGCTCTTCTCTCACCTGGAATATTTTTCCCCTCCTTTGTCCTTCAAGGCTTAGTTAAAATTAAATCTTCTCCACTAAAAATGATTTTCCAGTTAGAGCTGTTTAGCACCTTGATTGCGGTGGTGGACAGGCACAGTACATAAGTGAGATAAAATTGTATAAAATTGAATACACACACACACATAAATGAGTACAAGTAAAACTAGGAAATCCGAATAAGATCGGTGGATTATATCAGTGTGGGTAGCCTGATTGTATCATACTATAATTTTGCAAAATATAACCACTGGGGAAACTGGGCAAAGTATACAGAGGATCTGTCTCTTATTTCTTACAACTGCAAGTAAATCTACAATTGTCTCCATTTTAAAAAATGAATAACCTAGAAATGTTATTTTTATGAAAACAATGAAATTTATTTATTTTTTTACAGTTTATTTTATTTATTTTTTAATTGAAGAAACGATTTAAATTTTTTTTCTTTTTCCTTTTTTTACCTCCCATCTACTCCCCCCTCTCCCCTTCCCACTACTCTCTGGTAACCACTAGTCCATTGTCCATGTCCATGAGTCTCTATTTGTCTTATTCATTTGTTGCTTTTATGTTTATATCCCACATATAAGTGATACCATGTGATTTTCAACTTTTTCTGTCTGGCTTATTTCACTTAATATGGTTATTTCAAGGTCCATCCCAAAACAATGAAATTTAAAATTCTTTATTAATTTGAAAAAAATGTAAAAATTATAAATTTAAAAATTATAAAATCCATATGTCAATTTTCCAGTCTATACATTTCTAACTTGCTTATTTTAATGAGCAAAATTCATTGTCTAAATAAAATCATACCGATCTTTTACCTTATGAAAATGAAGAGTGAGGCTCATCTGGAATAATTTCTTCTCAGTAAAAATTTGTTAGAGTCTGGTAATTATTAGTTCTTTCCCCACTTTTTTTTTGTTCGCAATTGCCCTTCAAGAACTATGCCCAGAACTAGCATCTACTTTCTTCCGCTTTTCACAAACTGGAACACTGTGTACCATCTACAGTTTCTGGCACCCCTCTTTGGCTCCACAGTCCTTGAAAAACTGCCAACAGTCTTCTCATATATAAATTCTATTGATACCCTAGCCAGAATTTGTCCAAGTTGGAAGACAAGCTAATTCAAAGCCAGCCGTTCTCTTGCAATTTTGTATAAAGAATACTCAACTTCACAAAAGTTAGAGCTGGGAAGCTGATGTGCTGAAGTGGAAGCCAGGAAATCCTAAATGCAGGTCCAGACTCTGTCATTCTCTAGCAGTACAATTTTGGGCTAAGTTATCCAATTCTTTGAGCTTCGGTTTGCACATCTGTAAAATGGGAATAATGATAGCTATTATTATTATTTGGTTGTCAGATTGTAGGGAAGATTGAATGAGATATTTGTAAGAGCGCTGAGCAGAAATTGATAGTAAGAACAAAGCAGATACAATGATCTGCTTCCTAATAGATAAATGGATTTATAGAACTTCAGAGTTGGAAGGTACTGGAGAATTTACCCAGTCCTACTTCCTGCTCGATGAGGCCAGTACTCATGAAACTGCATTTCAACATTTAACAGTTTCTTTCTGTCACACGTTACCATCACAACTTCTACTCCTGAGCTGTAACATACCTGTACCTTCCATGCTCTATCAAACTTTAAAAGGTCTTTTCTCTGTGCCTATTACCTTAAATACTCTATCTTGTTAATTCTTACAACAACCCTATAATACAAGCATTTTTTTTTTGTCACAAAGAGTTGTACTTTATTGATAACGATTAGGTTTATGTATAACAAATTTCTATTAATACAAGCATTTTTATCTACATTTTAAAGCTGTGGAAACTGAGGATCAGTGATGTTAAGTAATTTATCCAAATCTGTATGGTTAGTAAATAGGATTCAGCCCAGCTCTGTATAATAAGAAGCTTCTGCTCTTTTCTGCACTATTATGGTGCCTTTTTTAAAAAAGAATTGTGC